ACTTACTAACTTGTCAAATCGAACATCCAAGTACCTTTTGGTGACCACTTCAGTGGCCAGCCAAAACCGTGTGCTTGCCGCCGGAAGTAGCTCCAGTCCAACTTATAGCCAGTGTGAAAACACCTACTGACTCCACCGGGCTTTGCAATCCAAGTACCCAAACCACTCCCAAAAAAGAACATTGTGACCCCAAAGGCCCAACCCCAAAAAGGGTTCACCTTTTGGTGCCATGACTAAACATGGAGGACCATTCAGGGGAAATACCTTAAAAAGCTCAGATTCGCTTTTCGCTTACGCCTGAGAACACTTTCTGTGTGCATTTCGAGCGGATTTTAGATCGATGGATCTCCTTCACCACCGCCACCACCTGGGGCTTCCTCGACTGACTCAGCACCGCGCTGGCCACCGCGAAGCCCTCGCCGCCCACAGCGCTGAAGACCTCACGGAGGAACGAAGGAACCAACGCCAATGTCCGGCGAGCCCCACTGGGCGGCGGCGAGCCCAATGGCCGCTTTTTGGAGGTACCCCTCTGGCCTTTCGTGGGGATTGAAAGGGAAACCAAAAGGAAGCCTGGAGTTTTGGTAGCCCCCCCCCCTCCCTTTTGTCAACGTTTCCCGTTTTTCGTGGTGGTTTGGTGGTGTTTTCGGGGGTGGTTTGCGGATGGTTTCCCATTTTTGTCTCTACAAGAACCAGGGGTTCAAATCCCCAAACCACCAATCCAAACAACCAACCAAGGGTTACCATATTTGTTTGGGTTCTGAAAGGGAAACCAAAAGGAACAAACGAAGGGAAATCACCCATCATCCCTTGGGTGTCCCAACCCATGGCTATGGAAGGCTACCTTAGGTATTTTGGAGGAGGTCGACTTGGAATTTTTGTTCTTCGCTCACGAGAACCGGCGAGTTCTCGTAAGATACACGAGCCATTTGGATAACTTCGAGGCCTCGGAAGAGGATGGACTTGAAAACCACAGAGGTCCTCCAGATTTGAGAGGTCAGAATAAGTTGGTACCCGATCTTTTTTCGGTTTTGTCTATTTTAGTAGGGGAGCCCTCCCCAAAAAAAAGGGCTAAAAAGGGCACTACTGGGGGACCTAGACCAAACTTAGGCCTCATTGTAGGAATAAATATAGAATATGTGGAATCATCTGGCCCGCAAAAACAGAGGATGGGGGTTGCTTTCCTTTCGGGTTTCCTTCAACCTAAAAAGACTACACAAAGGCAAGTCCCAGCGCTCCTTTGAAGTCAGTTGAAAAAGGGGCGCAACTTTTGTGAAGGTATTGCTTGAGTCTTGAATGGCTTGCCCATCTCGAGCGTTTTGCTGGTTGGTGGACATGAGTCGCGGCCATGTCCACTGTTGGGGGTCCGGGACTTACTAAAAGGCACACCCAAATGGGTATGTCTTAATAAATGATGTGAAAGCCTTCAAAGTTGGCTCTGTTGGTCGTCCCCAGTTGAAATAATCAGCTCGAATAAACCTCGAGACTGAGATTTATCCAATAGGATTTCATCCATCACCTGCGGATAGTGTTCACAAAAAAAAAAAAAAACTGTGGTGGTCCCGTCAAAGTTCAGGGGATTACATCTATCGGCCAGCCACTCCAAAGCCAGGTAGAAGCATAGAAGCACTAGGTGCTTGCCATGCCTGCACCTAAGCCATGCACGCTATGACCAGAATGGGCCACCGGCGAACTTGCTGATATGTAGATATGCACCTGATGTATACATAATATGTATATATATATATATATATTTATATACATATCATATAGTATATACACATATATATCTATATAGTATATAGTATACACATCTGGAGTATCGTTGGTTGAAAAGACACTGAGATGCATTGAACAGGGAGCACAATGTTCAATCTGTTGGGGTCAACAGGCTTCAGATGTCCGAATCAAGGCCAACACCGAGGTCTCCTGTCAGTTGCATTCTAGGGACCATCACCAAAGAATCCTTGCTTGACGTTGGGTTTGGGGAGCAACAATTCTCAAATTCTAGCAGTTCAGTGGATTTGGATTTCAACCACTTAACCACAATAAGCAACGACAACCATGAGAAGGTGTTGGTGTCACAAAGTCTTGTAGGGTCCCTGGTGCAAATCAATCCGGTTTCTTTTGTCATTTTTTTCAACTGCAGCCTCTTGTTTTGTCCCTCAACGGTTGCACTTTTTCGGGGGAAAAGGGGCATCATTTGCCACTCAGTTTTCTCCTTGATGGTTTGAAGCCCGGTGGTGGTTTGGTTTGGAGGTGCGCCGGGTGATCGCATTTACTCTCTACAAGAACCAGGGGTTCGAATACCTAACACACCAAATTCAAACCACCAACCAAGGACAACCCGATAATTGGAAGTAGAGGTCGCCTGAATTGAAATAGTCTAAACCTGCTCCTATGAGTTCACTGGAAAAATGTCAGAGCTGGTTTTTTGAACCCCTCAGAATCGAAGGGGAAGCATGGGAAGATTCAGCTTGGTTTTGGGAAAAGTCTATGCATTTCAATAGCGAACCACAAGTGGTTGGTGGACATGAATCCACACCTTCGCCTAAATTCTGTCCGCTACAGGGTCACTGAAATTTCATGCCGAGGGATGTCCGGGCCTGCAATCTTGGACCCTTCTGGCGCAACGGTTCTCCTGTTCTTTCCCTTCGAAAACAAATACCGAAAAATGCGCACCGACTCACAAAAGAGACGCTGTTTACCACTTTGAGTGACCGCCGAGCCAGCGCCGAGCCACCACAATCTTTGGCCTCCTCTCATAGAACCAGTCTTCGATGGTATGGACCACTTGCAACATCGCTTGCCGGTTTTTTGCCACCGCGGTCAGGGCGCGGATGCCATTGCCAAAACAAGGCCAGGGGGAGTGTGTGTGTGTGTGTGTGTGATTGTCTGCCCCCTCGTGGATTACACACACAATGCTTCCTTAGGAGTGGGTTGGCTACTTGGATGGAAAGACCCCAAGTGCTTTTCACAATGGATATAAGTTGGACGGAAGTTGCCCCCCCGCGACAAACAGACTGGTTTGCTTTTTTGGCCACTAAAGTCGTCACCAAAAGGTACTTGGATGTTCGATCCGCCAAGCTAAGTTGTCAGATACTTGGACTTGGGTCACCTTACAACAAGGTTCATCCCACTGACTGAACGTGGGGCTCACAAGCAGGATATAACCGGGCTGCCAACAACTTACAAACTTGGCGAATCGAACACCCAAGGAAGTACAGGAACTCAGGAAAGATCTTGGCCCCCTAAGATACTTCCATTTGCTTAAGCCCCCTGAAAAAATATACATATTTCCAGTAGTGATAGATTCCCTCTAAACACCAACAGGAAACTAAAACATATTTTTAAGCAAATGCATGGATACCTCTCTAAAGCTTTTCATGGATTGCTCAGAACTTTGCTGAGCTTCAGCTGAGCAGGCCGCGCGCGGGGAAAGCAAAGAATCGCATGTGTTCCTGGCTTCCCTCTTCCCTTTACAATGCAGGGTTGTGGGAAATGACCACTTGGGTGATACAACAGAAAGGGCTTCCCAAAGACGAACCCCGTATATAACAGGAGAGAGTTTTTGTTGTATCACAGAAGTAGAGATAAACCCCTTGATCCCACAACCACTGCTTTACAACCCAAGAAGGGTACCCAGCTTTGAACAAACGTGGTATGTCTCACAACAACAAGGACCCCCCTTGTAATAGTTTTAAAACGGAGCAACCCCTTGTAGTAGTTTTAAAGGGGAGCAAACAGGATGCCAGGGTTTTTTTCTGGGTAGTTTCCTTTTGGATTCCCGTTCACACCATCCAAAAATGGTATCAAGAAAGACGAGCCACGCTTGTTAAGGTGCCCAAATGACTGAAGCAGCGAGCGAAACCCGACTGCCTGCTGGAGTTCAGATCCTTCGCAGGGTGCCATGAAAACCGAAAGGCAGCTGGAGAGCTGCTTCAAACGCGGCTGGTGGACATAACTTGCCACTCTTTGTGTCCACTAAACTGGGCTGCCCTCAGATCCCAGTTTAAAAGTTTCACTTTTAGTGGGTTAAATGGAAACTAAACACTAAAAAGCTAAAAGGCTAAGGGGATGGCTGGGAGCTACCAAGTAAAGTGGGTCATCTTTTCAGAAAAGAAAAGAAGAACAACAACATACAATTAACCAAAAGGCCTTTGGTCGTGTGTTTTTAGCCATCACTGACAAACATGGATCGAGGGAGTTTTTATGTCTAAGTCTCCATTTTCCATGGAAAAGCAAGGGCTTTCCGTTCTGTTTGTTGGTGCCTGATTTTCCCAGGCAAGTCCTCTCCGAACATACGCCCAGTCTGGGAACCCTTCCAGAAGACTAGCCCGCGATACCGGGGGAGGACCAAGAAGAAACTTGATATGATCTGCACAGCCATGGTTGGAGGCTTTTCACTGAACCACCAGGAGCCATTCGGCAAATTGGGCATGTGGGCCCTAATGACCCAACCCGTCGGCCCGTTGATATTCCGCTTGGCTTACCCGTTTCAATTCCCCAAACAAACACGAGTCTCAAAAGACACGGGCCATAAACCAGCTCGGCCGTAACATCCCCCACATGGAACCTCACAGTACTGGTTTGGACCATTTGTTTGAAGGACCCTTTTTTTGGGTCCATATGGCCATGGGTCAAAACCCAAATCGTGCCCCAGTGAAAATCCCGGGATCCCCACTAAAATAGACTATAATGGAGGTGCACCTACCCCAAAAATGGGATCACATTGGTTTTAACCCACAGCCATATGGAGAGAGTGTCTGTGTCCCGTTAGCGGTTCTCCATCTTGGGCCCCCTGCTATCCTGGGCTAAGGCACGGCGCGCCTGCGGTCCGTCCCGAACTTGCTGGTGCGAATGACCCCCTTTTAGCCCTCCCCTATGGGTTCCTTTAAGAAATCCTGAGGTTATCCCAGGTTCATTCCCAGACCCAGCTAAGGTTTCCCCAAACATCTGAAACAAGCAAACCCACTTTCATGGGCAAAAGCGTGAACCAAGCAACGAACATATGGGTGAGTTTGTTTTTTGGGGGTGCCCGACATGTTTTGGCTCCAGGACCCTCCCCCTTTGGGGGGAGAAATCAGGAGGGAAGCCTCTTGGCCCCAAAGGAGCGAAGCTGAACTGGGCAACACCTGGCGGTTGAGCAATATTCCCTTCGGCCCCCAAATGACCACGAGCAACTTTTCCCCTTGAGTGGGGAAAACATGCTTTTCTTTTGTCTTTTTTTTCTGGTTGCCCTGATGGTCATCCGTATCACGGAGCTTTTGATCAAACACCGAATTGGTTCTGTTGTGAAAGCCGACACCTGCTTCTGAACCAGTGGACGCTGATATTAGGTTGCGACTTAGGAGTCGGACCCCCTTAATATGGATATCGCGTACTTGTGTTTTGCTTTAAACCTGACAAACAAAAAAGGTAGCTTTGAAAAAGCCAACCCATTTACTCTCCATGCCCTAGAAATCCTAACTTCTCAGCTCTGAAGAGGGCTTTTAGATGCCCGCAGCTCGGCTCCAAAACCCAACCAGCCGCCTTTGATTTGAGTCCAGGGTGGTTTGCGCCCATTCTGAAGCCTTTGAAGGTCAGATCTGCAAAAAACATGGGACGAACAAGATGGTCGCGGGTTTCAACTGCTGGTTTCCTGGGCCCCACCCCACAAAGCTTCCATTTGGCTCAGACCCCTGGACAAAAATCTGTCCAGTAGTGATAAACTCCTTGAAAACCAAGGGGAAATAACACATATTCATTTCAGCAAATGGAGGCTTGAAACAGCGAAAATGACCCGTGGTTGCCATCAAGGTTACCATTGAAGTGGTCCCAATAGTCTGCTCTGAGAAGATCAAATTCCTTTTTTACGGACCATTCCTGAGGTGCCATGCTAGTGGGAGAGAGGGTATCAAGAAAAGACATCCGCAGTTGGACTGAACTTTGGAGCTGGATCACAAGCAACGAAGCTTCCGACAAATCCAAGGCGCTCTCTCCTCATAGTACTTGGCCCTCAGGATACACCAACAAACACCTATGAACTCACACTTTCTCTAAAACACAAGTCAAAGCCATGTTTTGGAGGACCCCCACAAAACAGCTGTTTGAAAAAAGAAAGAAACAGCTACACCTGTCTCTCTCTATTTCAATCTACTTTAGTTTCCCTCCTTTCTTATCAAACAACACAAGCACACAACAACATCTTATTACCTTATTCGATCTCATCTTCCTAAAAAAGAAACGAAATGAATAAAACAAACACCAGCACAAGCACAACAAACGGAGAAAAAACAAATCACGCAAAATACATACATACATATATATATATATATAAAGGGAAAAATGCAATACAACCGGCTCCTTTCTTTTTCTTCGGGCCTGGCGCTTCTCAGCGCGCTGCTGGCGCCGGGCCTTGGAGACATAGAGCTGCAGCTTCTGGCGGCCGATGAAACGATGGCCACACAGGGCGGGGGGGGGGGGGGCGGCGAGGATTCCAGAAAATCTCGGTGGCGAGATCTGCGAAGCGCAGAGAAAGTTGCTTCTTGACTTTTGGTGGTTTCATACGGACCCAAATTTGTGGGCGAGAAAGTGAAGGTCCGAGCACTTTTTGGGCGAAATGCAGCAAAGGGTTTGGGGGCCATGTTGAAAGTAGAGGGAGGTGGCAGCCGGTGAGGGGGGGGAACACCGAGGATTCTAGGGGTTTGTGCACAGACCCGTAGAAAAACGATTTTCTTCTTAAGGGGGGTTGCGCAGAACACATGTTAATTGCTGGGAGGGTATGGCTTGCCACGGGTGTTGTAGGTGGGGGGCCAACATGATGTTGACAATAGAGGGGGGCCCAAGTAGGGGGGGATGAAACATGTGTTGGTGTTTCTCTTTTTCGGTTTTCACAAGTATTCCTTAAGCAGGGTACCATCCAATGCATATGGTAAAAGATCGGGTTGCGGGCCAAGTGGTACACATGTTGGTCTCTCTTTGAACCAACCCCTAAGAGTTCAAACAAGACACCGGTTGAACTCAGCAGGGAAAGCTCACCTGGTCGAAATGGAGCTGATAGCCATCCTCTAAGGGGAAACATAGGGAACCCTGTGGCAAGGTGGTGTATGTTTGGACCACAGGGACCCTACAAATCCCCCTCGTACCGCCAATTCATTTTGGCAGGTCAAACCAACCGTTCAAAACCCATGGGTGGTCAGAAGAGGAGGAATTGGAGACAAATTGGAATATGTCTTTTGCTTGTAATATTGTTCTAAGTGTGGGAACAAGGAACATTTCGCGTTTCGTTAAAGCATGTGCTTCTCAGCACAGCAAAGTGAACGCGTTGTTTTGTTTGTGGTTCTCAAACATACAATATATCTAAAATTCCTGGAACTCCCTTCCAGTTGAACGCGAGCACCTCAGCCCCTAAACAACATTTGCTTTGAAGTCTGGCCCATATGTCAAAAAGTCAAATCAATCATGATCAAACCAATCATGATCAAACCAATCATGATCAAATCAAAGGTGATCAAATCAAAGGTGATCAAATCAAAGGTGATCAAATCAAAGGTGATCCCCAAATTCACGTCTGACAAGTCTGAGACCTTGAACCACATGCGGAAAAAAAACTGTTCGAACATATTTTGTGAAGCTGTGACATTCACATCAAAGGCGCCCAGCTGCGCCCCAAAAACGGCCGACCGCCGACCGCCATTCACCGACCGCCAAAATCGCGCCTGGACGGGAAAACCGGTAAAGAGCGCCAAAGCCTCCGACCGTTTTCCGCGCGGTTGAGCCGGGGGGTGGGGGGATGGGTTGCCCGGGCGGGTTTCAAAATTCACCAAGGGTTTGGTTGCAATGGACATGCAAAAAGAAGAGTGATCTTGTAAATTGGGGGCATTTTAGAGTGGTTTTTCTTGC